TTTTTTTTTTTTTTTTTTTTTTTTTTTTTTTTTTTTTTTTTGGAGGTTCTGTGTTTGCACATCTCCAGTCCTTTGGGACCTCATCCATCCTCCATGAATTCTCAAAGATAATTGCTAATGGTTCCAAGATTGCTTCAGTTAATTCCTTAAGTACCATAGGGTGAATTTCTCAGGCTCTGCATACTTGAATACATTAACTTATTTAAATGCTTCCCCCCCCCCCACTCTGGCTTGAGTTTCTTCCCCTTTGTTAATATTAATAGCGTTAAGGATCTAGTAACAACTGACTTGTAGTGAAAACTAAGGCGAAATAGGCATTAAACACCTCTTTCCTTTTGTTACTGGCTCTCCTTCCCTGCTAAGTAGAGGACCTACACTTCCTTCATCTTACTCTTAATGTATTTATAGAAGCTCCTCTTACTGCCTTTTATGTCCCTTAGTAGGTGTAACTAAGGCTATGGCTACACTTGCAGATGTAGGGCATCGGGAGTTAAACCAGCCCTCGGAGACACAAGCAGGGAAAGCTGCTATGTGTTTACACTGTCAGCTGCAAGCACAGTGCCGTGGACACATTAGCAGCTCTTGCAACCCCACAGAGAGCAGTGTATTGTGGTAGCTATCCCATTGTGCAAGTGGCTGCAGCATGCTTTTCAAATGGGATGTGTGTGACAGGGAGTGTGTTGTGTGTGTTTTGGGGAGCAGAGAGTGTCACATGCTATCTAAGTTCAGACAGCGGCAGGAGGAAACCCCAACATCATCCCCCTCTCACCCCCTGCCTCTCTCACATGCACAGGCCTGCCTCAGCAGCAGCAGCATTCCACAGTAATGGTTTGCTTTGTGTCCCGGAGCAGATAATCATGCCGGCTGTCAGAAACAGAGCTTTGAAAGGGGATATCTGCATGCCTGCAGCAGAGTTCAAAACAATGACCAGAGTGGCCACTTGACTTCAAGGGATTATGGGACGTTTCTGGAGGCCAGTCACAGCGCAGTAATGCAACACATCATCCACACTGACACGCGGGCGTTTCAGCCAGGGCGCAGCAAGCTCTATGCTTCTTGTGGTGGATTACCAAGGGCGCTCTCTAAGTGCCTTGCCGGTGTGGACACCTCAGGAGTTAGGGCGCCTGGGGCTGATTTAATGTGCTGTAGCTTGCAAGTGTAGCCAAGCCCTAGGAGCACTTGCAGTGACTGAAGTGGGGCACTGAGAGCTGTGGGGGGTTCACAGCCACTGTTGGAAGACAGGATACTGGGCTAGATGAACCATTGTTCTGATCCAGTATGGCCGTTCTCTTTGAAGGGAAGGAAAGAATACAAGAAGTGGGGGAAGAATACTGATCCCACCTCTTGTTTAGTTTTCCAGCATTTCGTATGCTCATACAAGATTAAAATTCTGATGTAGGATAAGTTGTTTTTTTTATTTCCCCAACTCACTGGAAGAAGTCCAATGAGGGTAGTGTCCTAAGCCCTGCCTGTCTCACAGAGATAGACACCTAAGTCCAGGCTGCAGGGAGGCACTTATTTCTGCTAATGATCCATGAATGGGAACCCCTCTCCTGGAGATAGATGGACCTTGTTTTCTGTGGGAATGAGTTAGGCACCTGCCTCACTCCACACACACTGTGGGGAGGAGGTGCCTTCTCTTCCCCCTCCACCCTCCCTTACAACTTTTAGCCCAGTGGTTAGTGTTGCCTGGGATGTGGGGGACCCAGGTGTTCTTCTCCCCCCCCCCGCCTCATTCTGCTGGAGGGGGAGAAGGAGACACAGAGGTAGGACTTGAACGGGTGTGCTCTAACCATTGAGATATGGGATATTCTAATGTGGAGTTCCCTCAGTCTCTTCTTTCGAAGCTGTTCCACTATGGATACATAATGAAAGAGTGATGGGATCAATGGGACTGGACCCTGGGTCTGCCATCTCTCAGGTGGATGCCCTAACTATTGGACTAGAATCATACTCATGCTCTCGCTCTGGCTGAGTGACTGTTCTGCTGTGGATGAATAGTTTAATAGTCACTGACCAGAGAGAGTGACATTTCATGATGGTGGTTAGGGCATCTACCAGGGAGGTGGGAGACCCAGGGTCTAGTTCCCTTGCTTCAGTCACTACTTTATTTATCCACAGTGGAACAGCTGCAACCGTAGAATTTGAGTGAGCCCCACATCAGAATATCGCATAGCTTCGTGGTTAGAACACTCCTGCCTGCAACTGAGGCAGAAGAATGCTTCTCTTCCCGCAGTTCATGGATAGCTCTGGAGCTTAGATAGGAGATGTGTCTGGGTGCCTAGAGAATCAACACTGAGAATGCCCAGTGATGCCTATGGAACGTTTTTACCTTGAAAACTTAGATGCCGAGTTTAGGTGCCTACAGGACTGGGCAGGAGTTTCGTGGATTGCAGTAGAGCCTAAATCTGGGATTTAGGCATCTAAGTCTAAGATTTAAGTGCCTTTGTGGCTTGGGCGCCATAGTTCTTAACTGGCAAGTTAACAAGACTCGCTTGCTAAATAAACCCATATGTTTAACCCCTTCTGGTCTTAAACCTGGAGTAGCAAGCTTTCTTTCCTAAATCCAGTTTGTGGGTGCTCTTGATACAGATGAGTTCTTTATAGAAACCTGAAGGCCTAAAATAGGTAATTGCATTCTTTCTCTAATTATAATCTCACATAATAAGTATTTCTGTCTTTGTTTCAAAAGGTAAACCTATTTTTGTTTTCAATTTTATTTTTAACCCTTTTGTGGCTGTCTGGATATTTTAGAAAACTGTGATAGTAAAAGATTATTTAAGTCTAAAATATTGACTTGCTGCTTTGAAAAGATTGGGAAAGGCTGAATTGTGACGTTGTACACAATAGAGTGGTTGTCAGTAAAACTTCATTTCCCACACTTAACCACATAATTGTATTGGAGACAGTGTAGTTGTGATCTGCATTCTCAGTGGACCATCTCAGATTTAAAATTTTTATTAAAGCTAATGTTAAAATTATATAATACACAGATTGAGAAGTGTCTGTTCATTTGGGTATAGTGCTAGATTATCCACAAATACAAAGTTTGTTTTTAAAAGTCATATGATACGTTAGTACATAATCAGCAATAATTCAAATTTAGGTGAATAAACTTAAGACAGTTTAGATATTAGTGTCCCAAGTATTCGGGTACATCATTCATGAAAAGTTGTACAGAGATTTCGTTGTGGAAAGCAAAATATATCAATGAGCGAAGACTGTCCCTCATACGGCCACAGGCGCCAACTTTCCTTGGTGCTGGTGGGTGCTCGTGCCCGCCCCGACTCTGCCCCCTCCCTGCCCCATTGGACCCCTCCCCAAATCCCCGGCCCCGCCTCTTCCCCGAGCACGCCGCGTTCCTCTTCCTCCCCCTCCCTCCCACCACTTGCTGCGTGAAAAGCTGTTTCGTGGCGCAAGCGCTGGGAGGGAGGGGGGAGAAGCTGGACTCTCCGGCGCACTTAGGCGGGGAGGTGAGCTGGGGTGGGGGAGCGGCACGGGGAGCACCCACCAATTTTTTTTTTGTGGGTATTCCAGCCCCGGAGCACCCATGGAGTCGGCGCCTATGTATACAGTAAGGCCCAAATCATGCAAAGATGCACATGTATAGTTTTTATGCCTGTGAGTAATCTCATTGGGTGAAATCTTGGTCCCATTGAACTTAAGGGTTTTACTGTTCACTTCTAGCAAGAAACCGACAAAAACAATGACCTCATAGAAGTCATTTAATTAGTGATTTAAAAAATGCATTACAATTTTCTATTCTACGGAATTATTGTGTTAAGAGGGAATCTTAGCAATATTTCTTAAGATGGAGCTTTGCAAAATAAAATCTACTCTTTTGACAGCTGGAAGATGGACATACTTTATTCGATTACAATGTTGGACTAAACGACATCGTTCAGCTTTTGATACGGACTGAGTCTGATGCTCCTACCACTTCCTTGACTAATAAGGATGGAGAAGTCAACCCGTGTGCTGTTGCCAACTGTAAGAACAAAGTCAAGAGAACAACAGGGAGTGGATCGCCCAATCAGCCATCTACATCTGCTCGGTCATTTCTCATTGATCCTGGCATTGGATTGTATAAGGTATTTGCAAGTTTTGAAATCATCTTGTTTTGTATTTCTAGGTTCAGTTCTATAGCTTATATAGACCCAGATCCTTGAAACACTCTCATGTGCTTAACCTTAAACATGAGCATAGACCCACTGACTTCAAATTTAACATTAAGCATGTGTATAAGTATTAAGAGAATCAGGGCCAGTTGTACTGTCTGGATTGTTTTAATTAAAGATTTGTTAAAAATGATGATCACACATCTGCTACAGCATCCAGGTACAGTAGGTAACTTCACTATGATGGGATTTAGGTGTTTAGTTTCTGTCTAAGGCTCTGATCAGTATACTGACGGCACATACTTAAGGTTAGACATGTGTAAGTAACTTGCTGAACTGGGCCTAAAATAGTAAGCCATCTTACTACAAAAATGTTTAGATTTCAATTTGCACAGTAAGAGGTCAAATGTAATAGAAAACCTTGGTCTTTTTTTCTCCTCATCTCATCATCTGGGCAGATGATCTAGTCTTGCTGCAATGTAGATAGACAAACTAGAAGTTACAGATTTCATGGTAGGCAGCCTCTTTTCTGCTTTGTCCAGCGTCTGTCTACCTTGTGAGAAATTTGAGAGCTGTCTTGTGTGCAGGGTAGTGTTCAAGGCGATAGAAGAAAAGTGTGCTACTTATGCCCTAGCTGAGGCTTACAATTTGAGTTGCAAGTTGGAGAAACATCTTCATGAGGCTCGCTCTCTCCTGATATGAAGTCACTTTAATATGTCCTAGAAGTTGTTGTTACAATATCAGTGTAACAGATGGGAGATACTTTTCTGATCATACCTCACTTGCACTATCCAACAACATCCCACGCAATCGGCATTATAACACCACCAGCTAGGAAGCAAGGAGGCGAAAAACCTGTCAACTACATCTGATATAAAGACACCGGCTTTCCCACTTCCTATCCACTAATTTTCCCTCTTCTTTCTTTCTTACACTAGAAGCATAAAGCCTGTTCTTCAACTCCTGTGCTCCCTTTTCCCCTTTCATTAGGGCTATATCTACACTACGCAGCTTTTAGCAACACGGCTGTGTTGTTACAGCCGTGCTGCTAAAAGGCACACAGCGTAGCTGCTGTTTGTCAGCTCTCCTGCTGACAAAAAAAAACCTTCCACCCCCAACGAGTGGCGTTAGCTTTGATGGCAGGAGAGCACTTCTGCTGACGAAGCGCTGTTCACACAGGCGCTTGTCGTCGGCAGGACTTTTGTCTTTCAGAGGTGTTAACCCGCCCCTCCCTCCAAAGACACAAGTTTTGTCGTTCAGTTGCCAGAGTAGACATAGTCTAGAAGAAGACAAAGGATGAAGGAAAACACCACAAATCAGAAAGAACCTAGAAAAGATGGATTTCTCAGAGAGATGCTAAAATAAACCCTTATCAATAGCCTTTAGGAAATTAAGGTAGGGGCTTTCTTAAGTTATTTTATTTTCTAACCTCCTTTTTTTAGGGTGAAAAGAAGGTAAATTATCCTTCTTGCGCAGAAAGGGACCACCTGATTGCCTTATCTGCCTCTGTGAACCATCTCCATGGAGGCAGGTAGAAAATTCTGCCATCACGATGTTGTTGAGGACTGTCAAATCTTCTCTAAGATTGCCTTCAAGCACTTTGGTTTTAGGATATACAGAAAAGTATTTAATATACAGATAACGGGGGGGAGGGATAGCTCAGTGGTTTGAGCATTGGCCTGCTAAACTCAGGGTTGTGAGTTCAATCCTTGAGGGGGCCATTTAGGGATCTGGGGCAAAAATCTGTCTGGGGATTGGTCCTGCTTTGAGCAGGGGGTTGGACTAGATGATCTCCTGAGGTCCCTTCTAACCCTGAGATTCTGTGTGAATGCAGGTGTTAAATTACTTGCAGTTTCTAGATGTCAGGTGCATTCTGTTGACTAGGTATCCTTCCCTAAACATTCCAGTTAAATGGCAGGTTATAAGAGTTTATTCAAGCCAAAAATATAATTAAAAAAAAATCCTGCTCAATGGAAAGGAACGTAAACTATGACATGCTTAGGTATAAGATGGCAAAAAGTATTTTTGTGTCTCTCTACTTGCTTTATAAACATTGAGAAATACTTTACCTAGAAGTAGGAAGCCTGCAAGAGAGTCATTGGATCTGCTAGACTATCGGGTCAAGGGATGAATTGTTGAGGATTAAAAACATTGCAGAGAAGTTGAACGCTTTCATTGCATCAGTCTTGACAACAGAGAATGTGTAGATGGCTTTTGTTCTCAGGTAACTAAAAGGAAGGTGCTGTCAGAAACTGTGGTATGCAAAGAAAAGGTGTTGTAAGAAAAGTGATAATTTAATTTGCAGCAAGTCACCAGGACCAAATGCTATTCTCCAGAGTTCTGAAGGACCTTAAGAATTAAGTAGCTTAGCTGCTAACAAAAATATACCGGTCATTAAAATCAGCAGCTTTGCTGGAGGGTTTTTTAAAGTGCTAGGATCTGGAATTTTCAACATCACGCCTAACATCACTACCAGGTATAGTAGTTGAAATAACTTCAAACAGTTATTAAGCACTTAGATTAAATATCATAGGGCTAAACCAGTGTTGTGTCTGTGCCTCTCCTAATTGAATTCTTGAAGGAGCAATAAAGATATAGTTTACTTAGACTTTCCATAAACCTTTGGCAAAAATCCTTTTATGAGACTTTATGAAGGAAACTGAGTAGTTATTCTTTGAGTGATATCCCTGTGGGTGCTCCACTGTAGGTGCAGCCGCACCCCCTGCACCTGGGATCAGAAGTCTTCACTAGCTGTGCCTGTTGGACTGCACATGTGCACCTCCCCTCTGTCGTGTGTGTGCGGGATGTGTATATATAGTGGTGTGCGGTCCAACCACCCCCAGTTCTTTGTCTACTGCCTTTGGTCTGGGATAGAATCCACTAGCAGAGCCAGCTTCTCCTATTCCCTTACATATAGTGCCTTACCTGATAGTGTAGCTAGTTGTTTTTCTTGTTCTTCCTTCTTCTATCTGTATAACATTTTTTTTATTAACTTTTATCTTTACAGTTCTCCTAGATTAGGCTTCTGTTTTTCCCACTTCCCAACTGGAAGCCCTTTTCCCTTCACTCTTACGCCTGGCTCTCCTGGGTTTAAGAAGTTCATCTTATGCGGGGCTGCCTTCTCAATAATGGATGGCCACCCACAGTGTATCTGCTGTCTGGGAGAGGGACACGTTCCTCAAAAGTGATCTCACTGCTTCGACCTGAAACCCAGAGCCAGAAAAGATAGGGACCTTGGATTGAAACTTCTCATGGAGAAATCACTTCTTCCGGCATCAGACCCGAACTCTGCCCCAGAGAGGCCCTCATGTTCTACCAGGTCATTTGTCAACCCCACTCTTCCACGCCCTGTCAAGAGAGTCATCCTGTGAGCATGCGGATGACAAGAAATGGGCTTCCTCCTCCTCTCACTCTGAGCCACAGCCCACCAGAACACTGTCCCCAGCTAGGTTGGTGGCTTCAACCTCATTTGACAGGGGACATAGCTCCAGGCCTTGTCTAAGTATCTCTGGTACTAGCTTAAAGAAACCTGTCTAAAGTCCCTATCCAGGCAGACCTTCAGCCCTTGGTGCTGTTTCCCAGCTTTGAGGACCAAGGCAGCCCACTTGCAGGAGCTACAGCACTAATGCCATTTCTGGCACCAACAAAGCCATTGGCACCAGGCAAGTCTTTGGCACGAGCTAAATCTCTGGTTCCATCTTCTGAAACTTCAGGGATGTAGACCCTCTCTTTGGCGCTGGTCTTACAATAGCACTGATGATGTTCCTTCCTCCTCCACAAGACTTCAGATACCTAAAGACCTTCTGATATCTGATGCTCCTGAGTATCCCCTTCTTCGACTGGACCTCCCTCCACTTCTACCCTCCTTTCTAGACTCTCAACATTCCTCCCTCTCTTCGCCGAGGATCTTCCCCAGTGAGGAGGAGGACGAGGGCAAATTGCACCAGGTTATCCTCGCTATACGACCCCCCAATCCTGGCAGGGACCACCATGGATGCAGTCACATGTGCCACTCCCACTAAACTGGCCATATTGGGACCCTTGTGCTATTTACGGGGCACCATTCAGGAACCTTCCCAGAGATCAAAGCTGGAGACCTCCTCCTCCCTTCTCCATTGGCGTCTTGCCATCAGGAAGTTGAACCGTCACCAGTACCAACTGAGGAGGAAGATGAGGAAAAAGCAGGCTTTCCCCAACTTTACATTTTTCCTCCTCCTCACCTGAGAAGGCGATTATGCCTCCATCCCCTACATCTGCCGATAACTTCAGGCACTTTCAAGATCTATTCCATAGGATTGTAGACTCCCTACAGATCCCACTGGAGGAAGTCAAAGACTGGTAGCATAAACTGCTGGATATCCTCCACACATCCTCTTCCGCAAAGATCACACTTCCAATCAGTGAAGCTTTTCTCGAACCTGCAAAGGTTCTGTGTTGGACCCCGTCTTCCATCCCTCTGACCTGCAAACACGCTGATAGAAAATATTACATTCCAGCAGAGGATGCTGAATTTTTATTTTCACATCCCACTCCAAATTCTTTAGTGGTCAGTGTGGCACAGGAGAGAGGCCGTTAGTACCAATCTTGATCTAGCCATCCAGACAGAGATTGGAAATGCCTGGACTTATTTTGATGCAAGACATACTCTTCAGTCACGCTACAGTTGAGGATTTCAAATTATGAAGCTCTCATGGCCAAGTATAATTATCTAAACTACTTTAAATTGGAGAAACTTAGCCATGATTGATCAGAGACTAAAAAGGAGCAATTCCAGTCCTTGATAGTGGAGGGACACCACCTAGCCTGTATGGCCCTACAAGCCTCATTTAGACTCTCCAGTCACCGATCCATTGCAACTGCTATGGTCATGAGACTTGCATCATGGCTACATCTCTTGGGCTTTCCTAAGGAGATACAAACCACAGTATAGGACGTACCATTCAAAGGACAGAAACTATTCTGGGAACACACAG